ACCTGTCATCAACGTACAATTTTTCAAATAACGAATACATTATATGACATAGGACAAATACTCACGAGTTTACTAACTTTTGTCAGGTAAATAAATACGTTGTGGGGTTAATTGATTTTGTACTCGTATGAAGCAGAATTCATTCAGAACCTTCTAAAAGACAAAAAGAAAAAGCACCTTGCGAAATTCTTTAATTTTACTTTCCGATATATTGATGATGTCCTATCATTGTGTTTACATATCTCAGTTGATACGTCATGCTCGTGCATGCTCACACTATACGGACTTAACACACAGGAGTGTGCTCCTAACGCGGAAACTGCTCCAACAAAGTTATGAGGAGGACAGATTAAAAATGACATTCCGTAAATTTTACGGACACCATCACGAATTGGTCGATCCATACGATGTGTCTTAGTCCAAACTAACTAAGGACAATTTTACCACGTGTTAGATTGTGGTTTGACATTACGTCGTCTGATCTTTTAATTACAGAACGTGACTTATTCCCGATTGTGACTGTTTTGCTGAGTGTGAATTCGCATTGCTTTAAGACGTGTCACGGTACCTTTTTATCCAAAATTCATGTATTTAGTTTTGATTTTATATTTGTTATTCTCATCGGATTTTGTCAAATGTCTTATCGTTTGTAGTTGTAAATCTTATTTTTTTCTGTTGTATTCGTGTGTTATGGTAAAGATTATTAATCACCCTGTTCGATATTAGATTTTAGTTTGGGTCAACTAAATTTATACGATATATTTGGTTTACAGTTTGATTTAGAAGAAACACCGACATAGCTATATATACTATTAATTATCTTATTACTACCACATTTTATATTAATTAGTATTGTAATATTCATCGTTATTGATAAATGTTTTATGAGTATTATAAACCAAATCTTGAATTCTATACTAATTCTATCCTATTTTGGGGAAATTTCAGAAATTCAAATGTGACGTCATCTTTTTTTAGCGTTGATCTCTTTGGCTAACTCGGCTGTGAATTTTTATATGCTGCTTTATGTTGTTTTATGTATCCGTTTTTATTCTGTAGTTAGTCACCACTTCGGTGTTATCATGTATATCTATTATATAGTCATTTTTATAAATTTACTGTTTACAAAAGTATGAATTATTCTAAATACTAAGGATTTTCATATCCCAGACATATAACCTTAGCCGTATTTGGCACAACTTTTTGGAACTTTTGGTCCTCAATGCTCTTCAACTTTGTACTTGTTTTGGATTTCGTACGTTTTTGATCTGAGCGTCACTGGTTAGTCTTGTGTGGACGAAACGCGCGTCTTGCGTATTAAATTTTAAACCTGGTACCTTTTGTTAGCTATTATTCGTATGTTTCTCTGTCCTATATGTTCTCCCGTTTATTTGTATTGTAGTCCTGTCATGTAATGTTGTCATTTTAATGTTATATTTAACATTGCCATAAAAGCGGGAGGTTTGGCTAGCCACAAAACCATGTTCAAACCACCATTTTTTTCTTAAAATGTCATGTACAAAGTCAGGAAAATGGTCATTGTTATATTATAGTTCGTTTCTGTGTGGGTTACATTTTAATGTTGTGTTTCTGTTGTGTCGTAGTTCTCCTCTTATATTTGATGTGTTTCCCTCAGTTTTAGTTTGTAACCCGGATTTGTTTTTTCTCAATCGATTTATGAATTTCAAACAGCGGTATACTACTATTGCCTTTATTTGTGTGTATGTCCCCAAGTTAGGTTGAAATCCAGTGGTTGTCGTTGGTTGTTGGTTGTTGTTATACTATTTTTTGGTGTTTTGAATTTAGTATACATTATGCCGTTGTTTATTGATTTTTGTAGTTGTTTATATCATCGTCTTTTGGTAATTTGCAATCAGAAACTGTTACAGTTCCTTATTTTGCATTTGGGTGAACGATTCGGAACTTGCAGCATGTTATAACCAATCAATGATCATAACGTTATGAACGCCATAATTGAAAATCATCAGTATCGAATTTGGCATTCATTCTATCATGTGATACCTCATATAAGATTTTAAAAGATTGATAGAACGGTTCTGAAGCAAATCTAAAAAAAGGGATTTGGTCTCCTTGCTCAGACTTTTGTACTATCCCAATAAAGAACGAGATTTTTCCACCTGAAAACTCGGTTCAAATATGTGGCATCAATAAAATGCATACTGTTCTATAAGTGGATTGAATGGAGAAGAATATGAAATATGTAAGTGGTCAACACAATACATGTACACCAATTAATGAAAGAAACCATTTTGAAATAAAGTGTGTGCTTAATTGATTTAAAATTTTTTATTTAAATCGTACAACAGTGAATTTGAAGCATTTGACTGTATGCAGTTTATAATTAAAAGTTAACACAAAATGAATTGCAAATCGCGTTGCTTTTAAGACAAATAAATCTTTCAGATGTTTTCTATGTTTTATGAACACAACCTATTTTTTTCGATCACTAGATAAAACCGAATTAAAAATACAATAAAACTGAATTTCGAAAATAATTGTAAGCGCTAATAATACCTAATAAACCACAGTTCAAATTAAATATTTATTTCATGTTGTATTTGCTTTTCATCACGGTGTAAAGTCATTAGTTTCATTCGATATTCACGCCATCTCGATATTATCACAAATATTGGTTCTGCTTGGTTGCATTATGATGTGGCTATGGTTCGTTTGGCTAGAATGAAATATAAAATTGGAAACATGTCCCGGGAGAAGATATTAAATACGAAAGATAAAGAATAAGATAACGTATAAGTATGCAAGACCCGATCAAATATTACTGTTTAATGTTGACGTAATTTATGATACTGCGATATATTCATACCTTTTTAGAAAGGTTAAACTTGTGGTTCGTCTATTTTGTTTTTCTTGAATGAGGAATCATACAAATGGAACCATTACATATTGATCCAAAGATTAACCTTTCAAAACTTCTTTTACCAAATAGAAAACGTCTTAGTTAACTTCAAACGTTTCAATACTCAACGAAAACAATCACTCTACATTTAGAAGTTACTCTGTAATTCATGTAACAAAGGAAAAATGCCACACAGGTCTCTATTTTAAAATTGTATTTTGTAATATTGTATGTAAAAAAAACTATAATGACAATATATAAGATATGTGATTTAGATAAACTAGACCCTTTTTGCCTGTTGTTCGTTTTAACCATGTTGACAGCTTCAAAAGTATGATATTTTACAGAATTTAAGCTTGGTTGCATAATTTTAAGCATTTGTATTGTTTATTTTCTTCTGTTAAATATTGACCACACCCTTCGACCTAAATAAAGGAGAAGGTATCATAAGGCCACCTTTTTTGTCCCTTGCATTCGAAAATTTAATAAGTATTATAAATCTACCAAATAACATCCCTCAGATGTCCATAAGATATTGGTCTGTCGGACATTAGTATTTATATTTTTGAATTTTGTCTCACATATTGGTATTAGGGATTATAACTTCTTATATTTAGCACAAAATAACAAAAACATCTAAAAGGACCCCATTTTGGGATATTTTCAATAATATTTAGACTCGAGCAAAAGCCTTACCCAAAACGATACTTTGCTACAAAATATATTTTACAACGATATAAACGTTTGTTACAGATTGTTTTGGATAAATATGTTGCTCATATATATTTTGACCAAAAAAAATTATGTTTAGCATATCTTCTCCTTTGTTATACAAAGGTGTTTATGGGTCAGATACACATACTTACAAATTTATAGTGATCCATACATATGCCCAATGTCATATGAAACAAAAACTATGTAATATTTGTCATAGTTAGTAGAGATAATGACTTTCTTGTTTACAATTATGACGTCATCGTGGCTTCATAACCGTTTTAATGCGTCAGAACTTGTTCATTTTGTATTTAGTAGATACTTTTACATATTTTAGCATTTTATCATTTCATGTTTACTATTATTACTAAATTAAAATAAATAATAGTAAAGCCAATATTAACGAGAACTATCTATTCTTACTAAATTAAAATATAAATTGTAAATGATTGAGTTTGACAAATTGAATAAGTCTACACTGTAAATGTAAGTTGGTCAGTTAGAAACGTGATAAATCAAATTATGAAAAGCATACTAATTAAAGTCATGTTCATAAAAATATATTTTATTAATAATAAAAAAAACTATAACTGTATTAATGGAATTGAAATATGGTATACTTGTGTGAACCTACTCCACATGATGTGCGGTCATCAGACGATTGATTGCATCATAGAAGTTAAATATGAATATATTATATTCATGACGGGTGCCACATGTGGAGCAGGACCTGTCTATTATTCTGGAGCACCTAAGATCGCCCCCTGATTTGGGTTGGACTCGTGTTGCTCAGTTTTTATTTTTTATGTTACGTTTTAAAGATTGTTGTCTTTGATTTTTCGTTTTTTGCCATGGCGTTGTCAGTTTTTTTTTCGACTTATGAGTTTGAATTCCCTTTGGTATCGTTCGCCGTTCTTTTATCTATCCATATGAAGTCGGTGAGAAGTATTTATAAGTATCATTTGGCGTAAAATGCGCTTGGGTTGCATTTTAAGAAAACAAGGCAACCAACAGGAAAATATTGGAAGTGACCCTCAACAATGAACAAGTACTAGTTCATTATTGCAACCCTTAGGCTTGTCCTGTTATTTGTTATGAAAGTTAACAGAGACGAATGAAAATATCTTTATAAAAAATCAAAATTGATGGAAATACTTATATTTAAGGAGAAGTGGTATTATTATAGAAGTATAGTATGAGGAATATCTATTGTTCCAAATAAGGGCCCTTGATGGGCCAAACAACATTCCCATCAACAAACATTACACGTAGTGCTTAGTTTCTCGTTGAAATAAAATATTAAGGTTTAAGGTTATAATAAAATCAATTTGTATAATCAAATACTATACGTGAACAAATTAGGTAACAGTTTATAAGTCAAGTGCGTCAAAAATCTAAACATATTTACCTTGCTTCAAAATTGTGTAGTATCATCAGTTCCCGTACATAAAATATCAAAACGTAAATTACTCTTTCTACGGAAAAAACATCGACTGATCAACACGTGGCAGTTTTCACTTCTTAATCATTGGTTATAATACAAACTTCAGTAGACTTGCTTAGAGATCGACTTTGTGTATGAGTGACAACTGCATTAATCTTATAAAAACATTTTTTTTCTTCAAATATCTGTATTAGTGACGTTAAGTAGACAATTACCAATAAGAACAATGTCAACAAGTTTTAGGTCAACATAGATGACAGCTTTGCAAATATCAAAGTATTTCTTTGACAATGGAACGACTTGAAGATGTTTTATAACGGAAACATATTGGTATTAGATTTTACCTTACAAGTGGAAAAGACTTATTGTATTCCTAATATGATCGGTTGTACGTCAAAATATAATTGGCTTAGACATAACTGTGGTAGTGTGGCGCTAAGTTCGACGTAAGAAGATGTATTTGCCCACTAATTAGTTAGTTGAAAAAAATTAACGTCCATAATAGTACAGTTAGAATATAAAATGACGTTGTTGTCAGGGGAAGAGAAATGCAGTACCGACAAATAGGATAGAAGAATTATGCCTTGAAATACACAGATACTAAACTCAGAAACCATTTACAAGAAGCTATAATACATAATTTCTATCAATAATGGTCTGTTTAAATGATATCATTGTCTTATATATAAGAGTGGTAATAAATACATTTATTTTACTAATGAAGATAAGAATGTTGTAGAACAAATTCAGTTGGAATACCACGTACGTAAGTACGTTGCAACTAGAGCATGGATAACTGAATCTAAATATCGTATCTGTTATACTCGAAAATATTATAGTTGTTCAGATTTATTTGTTGGAATATATTCGCAAAGTTATTGTGTAAATGAAAGAGATGCACGTGGGGCAAGAAAACTTAAATAACTACACAGTGAATCGTGATTGCTAGAAAACCAGGCTAACGATAAAAAAAAACATCAGATGTTGTTGCTGCTGACATTTCTGTTTTATTTCTAGAAAATTGTTTTTTTTTTGGGGGGTTCTAAATCATTCAAATTTCTAAAAACATTGAAAAACCAGATTTTGTTGCATGATGCCGTCACAATGTTACTCGTATTTGGCATGATCGTCTTTTTTCTCACAATGTATACAAGATGCAATTAAGATGCAATTATATATATATAATAATCAAATACTTAGGTATCTATATACCTAATTTCGTTAAAATTAAAATTCAATAACATTTACCAAAAAGAATATTTGATATGGTAAAAAGTAAAATCACAAAAATACTGAACTCCGAGGAAAATTCAAAAAGGAAAGTCCCCAATCAAGTGGCAAAATCAAAAGTTCAAACACATCAAACGAATGGTAAAGAACACTGCAAATGTAAATTGAAGATTTTAGAAATGTTGTATATATTACTATTTATGTGTGCAATTTATATAATTTGCAATATCTCGGAAAGTTTAACACATATGTTATTCTATTTCCCGATATTCAGATGCATAAAAAATCAGTAAAACCTTGAGATTGCCCAGTTACGTGCCTATCAAAAGCAATAATTAATATGTATCATTTCAAGTAAATTTTCAAATACTTTTATTAAATACAAAGAAAAAAACAAACAAATTTGCGGTCAACTGAGGGAAAATATATTAAATCCTGAAAAGTTTGTAAAAGTAGGGATTGATAGATGTGACCGTTTTGCACCAGACGTTTTAGTGAGAAGTACAAGTAAAATCAACTTGAAAATGTTATCCTGCTTAAGATAAATCCATTCGAATTGGAAGTTCAGTGAGTAAACCATGAAGAATAGTATGAACCCTTAAAAGTAAAAGGACCTGACTTTCCAGAGTGAAATCTTTCAACACAAGAAAACCGACATAATTTTTCAAAGATGTTGTGAAGCACTAAAAATATATGGTAACCATTTTTATGACAATTGTTAAAACAAATGTTTTGTAGCTATTTTTTTAAGCACACATAGATTTTATATTTAGGTTTAATAACTGTAAACATTGTTTCGTATTTTATTTTGACTTTCATTTTGAAATTTCATTAAACCATTACATAATAAGTAATCAATTAATTATGATATCTGTCTGAGACTAAATATTTGAACTTGAAAAATAAATGTTTCGTTTAAATTTTTTTTTTTTTTCAAAATGGATCTAGTTGTTAATATATTGAAGTCAGTATCAAATACGCTTGCCCTGTCCGTTTGGAGTTCATGCGATTACCTCGGGTTTGTTTGTTTATCTTGATTTTTATATTCTAATTCAATTGACGAGATTTGAACATCGATTAAAAACTGTTGTCTCTTATTAAGAACAAGTGACAATAGTTAACTATACATATGAATCATACGAATTACCTCACTAAACAATATCTACCAAATTTTGAAAAATAGTTAAAATTAAATGTACACACATGCCAGATTGTGCAAAACAGATTCTATCTTGAAATACAACATAACCCGTTTTGATTAAAAGAATGGTAGTTGAATGGTAGGAATGTATCTTTTCGATTTATTTGTTTGTTTTGTAGATAATTTATTTTGCCTCACAACTAAAATAAAAACTAAACAATCACTGTAAATAATTTTGCTTCATTTTCAACGAAAACTTTTCCAACGCTACAAATTGGTTTTGATTAAGCACAATTTGATTTTACGTGTTTGATATAAATATTCTAATTGATTTCAAGTGATAACGGTTTAAGCGGTTATTGATGCCATTTTAATTCACTCAAGGTAAGTGTGGGGCTTTTAACCGAGGAGCAATATTGAAAAGATGAGTAGCACTTTTGTTAGAATCTTATAGAGTTAAAAGTAATCATGTACTCTTAATACACAAATTTATGTGTATGAAGTATTGTAAAAATATTAACTGATTTATTTTTATATATCTTATGTGTTAAACTGTAAATGTTTTGAGCAAAATTGTAAATACTGGAATACATAAAGTCTTCATAGATACCAGGATTAAAATTGTGTACGCCAGACGCTCGTAAACAATAGACCCATCAGTTAAAAAGACAATTCTGAAAGGTTTTGCCAAACACAGCTCAGGTAATCTACTTGAGGGGTAGATAAACCTTAGTATTTCGAAAAATGCAAACTTTTGTAAACAGTTAATTCATAATTATTACCATAGCCATGATAATTCATGTCAACACAGAAGTGCTGACTACATTTAAGCATTATGTATAAATAGTTTTGTAAATATTTCAATTTGATGTCAATTACATGTAACAAAGAAACATAAGGAACAAAGCCTAATATTTCAGTGTATCTTTGAAGAGTTTAAACAGATAACATTAAAGCATCAATGTCGACTATGATATTTCATACTGTTTTGATTCGAGTGATACTGATGAATCTTATTTAGACTAAACGCGCCTTGGATACTCAATTATAAGCCTGGTATCTTTGATGAGTTTTCCTTATTATTTTTTAATTCAATGAATATAGTTAATGCCGTGAAAAACTAGAATGCAGGTGTATTTAATAACAGATCAGACGTCTATGCTAAGATCTAACGATGAAAGCTATATTAAATACGTATTTATATTAGAAGGTATCTCTTTATCAGAAATTAAGATAATTTATTCCCAAACATCTGAATGAAAATAAAATGCAATATGATTTTCAAACTATTATTTTGACCGCGTTTAGGACATGTTGGTGTAAGACAAAATGAACTAATACCTTGGCAAGACCAGAACTGAAATATTCGTGTTAGGAATGATTACGTAGAAGTAAAACACTATGATGATAGATGAACTCCAACGTAACCCATATCGCAAACAATAGACTCACAAAAGCTAAGCGACATATAGTGATAATCATAAGTCTTCAGCTATTGTAGAAAAGTTGTGAATAGATTAATATAACATATACTATTAAAGATTCGACACCAACACTAAATTCGCACAACGACGCAAAATGGAAAGATATAATTAAACACAACCATTGACAAGATCCCAGATTGTGGACAAGCTCAAGCTCATGTACAAAATGTAGCGGTGTTATTATTTTTAGCTCTAAATCCTGTTCGTTTAAACGCGATCAGCGGTAAAACAGAAGTTACATAGAAAAACCTACAATAACAATCCGTACAGAAAAAGCTCTCTATATCCTCGATGTTATCGGTAAAATAGACTAAATATCCTAGGTACAACTAAAACCAATTATAATTATATCGTATCGAAGACTCCTCACAATTACTGATAGAATGCTCATCTGCTTATGTGGTAATGCTGTATTACAGCACTTCAATTTATCAATCACAGATGTTATATATATGCATTAACACTGCTGCAGATGAAAGTGTTTTCATATGATGTTGTGATAACTGGCTTTTCCTTGAACATGAAGAAATTCAAATGAAACAATGTAAAATTATGATCACCTGCTTTATGATATGAATTTCCAGACATATTATATTCTAAGATAGTGATGGATTGACATTTTATGTTTTAAAATGTATGTTGACAAAATTGAAATCGAAATGAATTGGATAAGGTTGGAATGATTCGCATGTTATGAGTTATGTAAAACAATAATGAATGTTTTATGTTTTATTCTAGAAAATATGGAATTTCCAATTCAAATTGAAGATTAAGGGCCTAAATGTCATCAGCTGAACAGAAAAATCTCTTTAAAATTCCCTAATCTCGTTTCAAATGCTCTGGAATAGAAAAGAACACATTATCTAAATGTCATATTGTCAAAAAAAGAATTAATGAAATTCTTTATAAATGTATTATTGAAGAAAAATACCGATAAATTGACATATTATTTAAAGTAGCACATTCGTTCAGCGAAATATTTGTTGATATGTAGTAATGCCTTGATCATGATGTTTTGCAAATATATCTTGGTTTTATTTACAATGACGAATAAAAATGCACGTGGAGTAAAAGCTTTTTTTAGTCATGGTGTTAAATCATGAGTATGCAATCGGTTTTGTTAAGAAGAACTTTAGGAGTACTGCCTAACAAATGTGTTGTGTATCTTTTTTCTACAGGTATTGAACAATTCACTATACCACAG